GATCCTCTTACAAATATCTGTGGAAATGGATTTTTTCTTCTCCTTTGGGCAAAATATTTCCCCTCCAGAAGAAGGAAGTTCACCTCAGAGGGTGGATTCTTAAGACGGAGTCCCAGGGCTGATTTCTCTCCCCGTGAATAAAATCTCCTTCCTCCCACGATCCTCCCACTCAAAGCTTCGAGTTCCCTGGCAGGAATGGAGAACCTGGATCTTCAATAACATAAAATGTTTGTCAAGTTTATTGAGCTTCTCTCCTATTCTATATTCTATTCTTATTCTATTCTATTCTTATTCTATTCCCCCACCTGGAGGCTCAGCTGTGGGGTGGAGGAGGACAATCCCTGAAGAATCGAGGCTTGTTGCCTGCTGGATCCTGGCCAGTTTCTCGGTTCCACTTCGGAGGAGCCCAAAGCTTCAGGCTGGGGAAGCGGAACTGAAGCGCCTCTGCGGCTGATGGGGGTTGGAGAAAGAACCTGTGTGTGGTGTGTGTGTGTGTGAGAGAGAGAGAGAGAGATTTGGGGGGGGGGGAACTGTGGGGAGGGTCCTTTGTCCTCCGGCTGAGAATTGGGGAGGGGGGCCGAGGAAGAGCCGCTGCTCAGACAGGGAACCTGCCTGTATTCTGGGCTTGGGCCGGAAGAGAAGTGGGGATTGCGGGTCTTGGCTGGGCTCTGGGTGGGGGGAAACTCCACTTGCGACCCTTCCTGGAGGGGAAGAGCGACCGGAGTCCCCCTCCTGCCCTGGGGATCTTCTCCCTCGCTCACTTGGGATCCCAGAAGCAGATTCCGGAGTGGGGCAGTGTCTCCAGGGATCGCCCCTCAGCTGACAGAAGCCCGGAGAAGATGGATCCTGTTAGGGATATACACCCTAGCAGAATGTGCAACGGCAGTCAGGCAGGCAGATATGTGAGACAAACGTTGTAGTAGTTTACACTCAGTAAAACAGATACACAGTGCTAGTTAAATAGTTTATTCCAGTAAGATTTATAGCATAGTCAAACAGTCCATATATCATACACTAAGTTCAGTCCGTCCAGGGATTATCCAATTAGCTAAGTCCAGTGTCGAAAAGAGGTCAGTAAACTTACTAAATATCAGTCCAGTAATTTATCTCTTCGCAGTATGAGATAAGAAGAAGTAAAAAGCCTCTTTTCTTCTTTAGCAACAGGAAACACGCAGTTCAAACCATCAATCCAATAAGCCAGCAAACAGTAAGCTAGCAAGGTTCTCTTGCTCCCTCTTATGGTGGTTTTACAACCGCACCCAAAATTACATGCTCTACAGTTAAAGTGATACACACACTTAAACTCACTAACATAGTTTATATATATTATTTTACCCAAACTAAGTTAGGTAACCATGTTATTCCTAACAGATCCCCCTGGGAGGGGAAATGGGATCGTCCAAAGCCTCCGAGGGGGATCCGACCTGGAAGGGATCAGGGGGGATTTCCAGAAGAGGCTGGACGGCCGTTTGTCAGGGGTGGGATAAGAGCTCCTCCTGCTTCGGCCAGGGGGTCAGACAAGAAGATCTCTAAGGTCCTTTTCAGACTCTGTACCTCCCTCTTCCCATCGGCCCTCCCCCCACCGAAGCCCTCCGCCCCCACAGCCCCTCCTGCACGGAGCTGGCAGGAAAGTCCCCCGAGATTAATGAAGCCCCGCAAGACTGCAAGGATCCCCCTCCCACTTTCTCCGCTTCTCTCTCTGCGCCGAACTATCTCCTGCATCGGCTGCAGTCAAGGGAGACTCTGCCCAGAGACCGATGACGCTGCAAGAAGGGAGGATTCTCATTGGTCCTCCTGCTCTTTCTGGACGCTCCCAGTTCCGAAGTGCGGGGAAAACTCCGCCTTCCCCAGTTCAGGCCCTCCGATTCCTCCTGGGGGGCCGGGAGCCTCCGCGTCCTTCTCGCCTCTCTTTGCGGGCGCTTGTGGGGCGGCATCCATGGCTTTGGCTGGGCTCCCCCTGGTGCTGCTGGTGGGGGCGCTGGGCCGGATCCCCGGAAGCGAAGGGGGGAAGGAGACCCCCGGTAAGGAGGGGGCTGGGCGGGGGAGGAGGGGCTGGGAAGGACCCCCGGAGGGGGAAGGAAGCTGATGGGTCTCCAGAGCCTCCAAGAACCTCGATCTCTGCGTGGTCTCCTTCCCCTTCCATACCCGTATTGCTCCCCCAGGAGGAGGGAGAGGGACCCCTCCCTTGTTCCCCGATTGTAGCCGAGGTGGGGGTCGCAGCCGGGCCCCTCTCTGCCCCCCCATTGTCTGGGTCGGAGTGGGCTGCCTGGAAAGAGGCAGGGAAGGAAAAGCGAAAGCGAAAGAGGGAAACTGAGGCATTTTCAGCCCTGAAGCCCCAGAAGGAAAAAGAGCCAAAGAATTTTAGCTTCTGCAGAAACTTCGCTTTTTCTTCTGAATCTCAGATTTGAGGCTTTGGAGGTCAGGCAAGAGGGGAGCTTCGGTCGCTTCTGGGGGAGGCTCTGAATTTGGGGAGGGGACCAAGAACCCCCCACCCCCATAATCCCCCACTGGCTCTATCGGGACCTGGAGGGGGAGGGGGAACGGAGGGAGGGGGGCTCTGAGTTGCTCCTCGGAAAGTGGCTCCCCCTTTAGAGAGGGGGGACTGGAGACCCTTCCTTTGAGAGGCTCTTGGGGGGCTGCAGGAGGTCTTTTTGGGGAGGGGGAAAGGAAACAGGTAGGATCCCCGACAGTCACCCAAAGGGAGAGAAATGGGCTGAAGATTTGGGGAAGAAGAAAAAGTTGGGGGGGGGGAATCCAGGGAAGGGGGGGTTGAAGGGCTGGGAGACCTCAAGAATATGAGTCTAGATGTCCTCCTGGAGCCCCTCCCCTCATTCTCCGCCCCCCAAAGGAAGAGAGAGCAGGAGGTGTGGATATTACCTTCCCTCCAGCCCTCCCCCCCCACCGTTCCTCCCCCTGGAGATCCAACGTTCCCTGCAGAGAGAAGATCTGCTCGACCAGTGGAGCTTCTGCCTGCCCTCCCACCCCCTCGGAAGGGATGGAGGGGGGGGTCCCTTAAGGAGGCTCCTCCCCTCCCCCTTTCTTTTTTCCCGCCTTCCAGCCCCCCCTGCCTTCCGCCAGTCTCTCAAAGGAAGTTCCCCCCCTCCCTTCCTGCGTGGGACCCTCCTCCTCTACTAGCGGCTGGGAGCGATGGGTCCTGGAGTCCCTCCTGACGGCCTTCCTTCTCCTCCTGCCCCTGGCAGCCCATTTCCTGGTCCAGTGGATGTCCGAGTGCCGCTTCCTCAACGGGACGCAGCGGGTGCGGTACCTGGAGAGGCATTTCTACGACCGGCATGAGATTCTATGCTTCGACAGCGACCTCGGGAAGTTCGTGGCCATCACGGAGTTGGGGAAGGCAGATGCGGACAAGTTGAACAGAGATAAGCAGTGGCTGCAGTACCAGAAGGCCGAAGTGGATAGTCTCTGCCGACACAACTACGAGGTGAACAGCTACAAGGCGCCCAAGAGGGAGGAGCGAGCGATCGGCCGGAGAAGTGAGTTCTGGGGGTGAGGGTCTCTTCTTCCCTGGGAGGGGGAGGCCGGGACCCCCCTTTCCTTTCCTGGCATCCACTGGGGATTCTCCTCCCGGGTGACGGTTCCGCCTCCTCCTTCTTCCTTCTGCCCTCTCAGAGCTCCGGAATCTCCCTCTTCTCCCCAGGATCCGAACTCTCCTCCTGTCCAGGATCTGGGATCCCTTTGATCCCCCCAGGAAATCCACCCAATTCTATGATTTCCTTCTTTGGGGGCGAGGTGAATCCAGCCAGGTCTCGATCTCTCTCCCTCCCTACTTCTCAATACAGGGAGTCCTCCACTTACAACAGTTCACTTAGTGACCGTTTGAAGTCACAAGGGCAGTGAAAACAATCACTTCTGACCCTGTTTCGCTCAGTCATATGTTCAACATGTTTACAGTTCAATCTATTGATATCATTTCATTTATCATTCAAAGTTTCACCTTAATTTATAGCTATCCCAAGATACATTTTCCATCTTATTTTCTTTTAGCCAATATTGTCAAATTTACAGCACTATATCCTCATTACCTTATAAAAATATAACAGATATAACAGAATATTTAATTCATTAATTCATTAAAAATTTCTCTATCTTCCTTAATCATACTTTCAACATGTTTACACTTCTCATTTTTAGATAAATACATTTTCCATCTTATTTTCTTTTAACCAATATTGTCAGATTTACAGCAATATATCCTCATTACCTTATACAAATATAACAGATATAACAGAATATTTAATTCATTAATAATTTCTCTATCTTCCTTGATCATATTTTCAACATGTTTACACTTCTCATTTTTAGATAAATACATTTTCCATCTTATTATCTTTTAGCCAATATTGTCAAACTAATAGCAATATATCTTCATTACCTCATACAAGTAGATAATAAAATATTTCATGAAAGATACTAATCATTCTTGTGCTCAGCATGTTTACAGTTTCATACCATTCATTAAGCATTCAAAATTTCATCTTAATTTATATTATCTCCTATTATGTCCCCCCATTATTATACTTGCCACTGTTGCATATATTTTATTTTCAACACCAATAAACACAGACCAAGACTCCCAAATAATCAGGATGAAGAAAAAACCATTCTGGCACAGCAATAGGCTGCCCCAAATTTAAATCTGAAACCACTGTAAAAGTCTGACTCACATACGAACCCAATACAGAAGCCTGATGATGGCAGATGAGATTCTGCTGAAACATTGCTACAACTTTAAAAGCACAACTACAGTGACGTGGGAAAATACCCGAACAAAGCTGAATGCCATTCTGCGGAAGCACAGACTCTGAGAAGCACAGAGCGGAAGACACAAGCCTGAAGATGATGAATGAGACTTCATCGAAACGTTGCCTAGATACTTCCAAGCTTACGCAGGAGAAAACCCGAATAACCAAAGATCCACATACAAATACCCGCGAGAACCTCAGAAAACAAATATATATATAT